ATTCCCATAAAAAGTTCCATGTGATTTTATCATCTTTTCGTGATGTATAACACAAACAGCCGTATTCAAACAACCAACAGGTTTTACAGACCAGCACTGAAAACATCGCAAGTTCAGGTAGTGATATGTGTTGTGGTCTTATTGGTTGGACATCTATAGAAGGTTATATTGATATTAAAAAACTGTTATTCTTTGGAAGATTGTGTTGTCTAGATAGAACTACGTTAACGTTTACTATATTCTTAAGACGACTTTACTCGCCACTTCTTAGAATGCCGAAAGATAATGTAGGAATTGTAGATGACATGATCAGAATTATTAAAAAGTATAACCTATATGGTATATTAGAAACTTTTATACAAGGAAGTGTATTCCCCTTCAAAGCGGCAATGGAAAAAACTAGTGAAAGCGAGTGTATGGTTGAAAAAAGAGCAAGAGTGGAAAGAACGTATGTCACGTGATAGTGAATTTTATATATTTAGAAATGTTCATTGTAAATTAGAGCCACACATATTTTGGAAGCTCGCAATGAAATTTCCTGAATGTAGAAGTTCAATACATTATGTCATGAAAATAATTGCAACTAGTTATATAAATGACCACCCAGAGTTGTGTCATAAATGTGGTATTTTACATAATGATATTTTAACTCATGTTGTGTTAGTATGTACTTACACAGAAGATGTACGTGATCTATTATGGTGTTCTATTTCCAATATTAACAATGACGGTATTTCACTAAGTGTTTATCTACATTCCCTATCAAGTCAAGAGTTATTATACATCCTCCTAGGAGGACAGATGACTTGTGATTTAAATGAGCATGATATGTATGTCTTTAGATTACGATCAGTGATATTTATTGAGAAAAGTTTTAAAATGTATCACCTCTGGTAGCATATGATCGCCTAACTGAGAGCATGTGCAATTCATATCATTTTTTTTCTATACAAGAATTATGTACATCATAAGGATAGTGAAACTATTAAATGAACTGTATTTCTTAATTATAATTGCCAATTATGTTTTTCAATTGATGTATATCTAGTATGCTCATGTAATGTTATTGTTAACAATTGTATATGCGTTGATATGTAAATGACTATTATTCTGTTTGTAAAATCTTCAGCTTGGAGGAAATAAAGAGAATAATAGTATAACACAAACAGCCGTATTCAAACAACCAACAGGTTTTACAGACCAGCACGAAAAACATCGCAAGTTCAGGTAGGATTTGTTTGGTTTTACAGATAACCCTGATAAAATAATGGGTTATCACGCCCTATATGTACAGGACAGGGGCGGTCTAGATATGTGTTAGTGTTTTTGTCCACATTCACCTCTTATATTGTATAACTATTTTAGATAAATCTTGAAGACTTAGACTCTGCTGTGATTTTCACGATTGGTCAGCTTTTTTTTATCAATTTCAGTGAGATGGTGTCGTGATCGACTGCATTATCGAGTGCCACTTACTGTCATACTGTTATTCTGAATAACATCCATGTTTTTACCGGATCAAAATATCGGGGACATTATTTTTCAGTTGTTTGTTTGTCTGTCTGTTGTCAACATCAACCTTACCCATAACTATTGCACCATTATAGGTAAGGTTTTCATATTTGACATGTGTGTGTAGTGTTCTCCTATTTGATACAAGCACTGATATGAAACAGACTATAAGCACGTGTTATGCAATTTCCACGTATGACGCCATCTTGAATTATACCGAGTCCACGAAGCTGACGGTCTTGTTTATCTGTCTTAATTAAGTAATTTATCGAGGACTGAATAATAGAACATGGTGTCAGAATTGAACCAGTGAAAAACTTTTAAAACACCTACAGAACAGACCAGTCGAAAAAAATGGCCACTTATCAGGTTACCGCGCCAGAACAATTTAATTTCTCGAACCCCGAGGAATGGCAGCGATGGGTAAGGAGGTTTCAGAGATTTCGCCAGGCATTCGGTCTTAGTGATAAAAGTGAAGAAACACAAGTGAACACACTCATTTATACTATGGGTAGTGCAGCCGAGGACATTTAGGCTTCATTGAACTTGTCCGAGGAGGAACGTGTCTATGACACAGTTGAAACCAAATTCAATGACTATTTTGTTGGGAGACGAAACACAATTTATGAAAGGGCCAAATTTAATCAGAGGAAGCAAATGGACGGTAAGTCTGTCGACACATTTATTACTTCCCTCTATCATCTTGCTGAACATTGTGGTTGCGGTACCCTACATGATGAAATGATAAGGGACAGATTAGTTGTTGGTTTGAGAGATGAACGGCTGGCCGAAAAGCTGCAATTATACTCAAAAATTAACACTTGAAAAGGCCATGAAACAAACTCGCCAAAGCGAAGCTGTAAAGAAACAACAGTCGGTTGTTAGAAATGACGTCATGAACAATAGTGCCGATCATAAACCCGTAGATGCAGTACACAGTAAATTTGTTACAAATGTAAACAAATCGCAACAGAACTTTCGCCAAAACAAACAATATCGGGGGAATACCAAGCGTGGCGGAGGCACCACATCTGGGGGTTCTAAATACAGAAATGTTGCTCAACAGGGTTCTTCCAGTCCGAGATGCGGGTATTCGCCTAATCACCTCAGGGAAAGGTGTCCAGCTAAGGATATAACCTGCAGTAAATGCAAGAGACGTGGAAATGTTGTCTGGGAAATGTCGGCGAAGTTTACGAGTATGACCATGATAACGTGAACTATTATGAGAACCCAAGGCCAGAGGAAGTCGCATTTCTCGGAGAAGTCGGGTGTATAGATTCGAATCCGTGGTTTGTGAATGTTCAACTTGAGCAGAGACAAGTGAAATTCAAAATCGACACTGGCGCAGATGTGGCAGTCATACCGAAAGTGCAAAAACGTAAAATTGCGGCGATCAGACAGAATTCTACACGGACCGTGCCACAATAAATTTGAAGTGTGCGGAATGTTTACCGGAAAACTACACGTCGGAAATAAAGTCGCGAGACAAGATATCTACGTCGTGAATGGTCTACGGCAACCACTACTGGGACGACCGGCAGTCGAACTTTTGGGACTTGTGACTAGAGTTGAGGAAGTCGGCGCCGGAGAGGAAACCGATTTCAAGGTCAAATATACGAAATTATTCACGGGTTTGGGAAAAAAATCAAAGTTGAATACCAGATTAAACTCCGCAAAGATGCATTTTCTTTTACGTTAACAACACCACGTCGCGTACCGATACCGCTCCTTCCAAAGGTGAAGGCCGAGTTGGCTCGGATGGAAGAACTATGCGTTATAGAGCGCGTCGACAAACTATGTGACTGGTGCGCGGAGATGGTGGCAGTGCCGAAAGCCAAAGGAACTGTGCGCATTTTTGTAGATTTGACTAAGCTCAACGAGAGTGTTTAAAGAGAAAAACACCCCCTACCGGAAGTTGATCAAACGCTAGGACAGCTAGCGGGTGCTAAACTTTTCACAAAGCTCGACGCCAATTCTGGATTTTGGCAAGTGGAACTGGTCAGAGAATCAGCGTTACTGACAACCTTCATCACGCCGTTTGGACGGTATTACTTCCGAAGGTTACCGTTCGGAATCTCGTCAGCGCCCGAGCATTTTCAAAAGAAAATGTCACAGATCTTGGAAGGCTACGAAGGAGTCGTGTGTCAGACATACGATGTTCTCGTTTAAAATAAAATCGAACACGACCGACGAGTAAACGCCGTATTACAGAAACTTCAAAACTCTGGTGTCACACTGAACAGTGAGAAATGTGAATTTTCCAAAACCGAAATTAAATTCGCCGGACATGTCATAAACAGTGATGGAATTTCACCTGACCCCGACAGGATCAAGGCAATCCGCGACATTGATTCGCCTACAGATATTTCTGGAGTCCGTCGATTTCTGGGAATGGTAAACCAGATGGGAAAGTTCTCGCCAAACCTCGCAGAGAAAATGACACCGATTCGCGACCTGCTCAGTAAAAAGAACATGTGGCCATGGGGTAGCGCCCAAGAGCAGGCATTTTCGGACATAAAACAGGAACTTTGTTCTAACCCAGTTGTAGCCCTTTACGATCCGAACAAGGAGACGCTAATATCGGCTGACGCGTCGTCATATGGAATCGGGGCAGTCATCACACAGGTGCAGGAAAACGGAGTGCGGAGACCGGTAGCGTCATGTTTGCGTGCGTTAACTCCGACGGAACAGCGTTACGTGCAAATCGAAAAAAAGGCTATAGCCCTCACGTGGGCATGTGGCCGATTTAGCGTCCTTATCATAGAATTGAAGTTCCGAATGGAACTTCCGCCGCGTATTCAGCGTTTCCGTATGCGACTTATGATGTTCAGCTATGACATAATCCACGTGCCGGGGAAGGAACTTTATACACCAGACACGTTATCCCCCTCCCCCGTGCATGGGGGTATTTCAGCCGAAGAGGAGAATTTCACCAAAAACACACAGTGTTTTGTGGAGTCGATTGTGGACAATTTTCCCGCGACAAACTCTCGGTTGGAACAAATAAGGACTGAACTAAAATCCGACCCAGTATGTTCAAAGTTAATGACATTGGGAGAATTGCCGAGTGACAAAACACACCTAGACGAACTTGTGAAACCGTATTGGGGACTGCGAGGTGAAATCCTCGTGGTTGACAGATTGATGTTGAGAGGTGATAGACTTGTTATACCGCCTATTCCGGGATCCTAGAGAAATTGCACGAGGGCCACTTAGGAGTCGCGAAGTGTCGAAAACGCGCGAAATCGTCAGTCTGGCGGCATGGTCTTAGCAGCCAAATCGAGGACGTGGTAAATTCTTGCCATATCTGTGCCGAGGCAAGGAACGACTCTGCCGAACCGTTAATACCAACTCCGCTACCGACACGTCCATGGCAACGCGCGGGTACAGATCTCTTCCATTTCAAAGGGAAAACAGACCTTCTTGTTGTTGACTATTTCTCACGTTTTGTGGAAATCGCCAAGTTGTCGTCAACGTCATCGGAGGATATGATCGTACATCTCAAATCCATATTTAGCCGTCACAGGATACCAGATGTGCTAATTTCTCATAACGGACCACAGTATGCGTCTGAAGTGTTTGTGCGATTCGCAAAGGAATTTGGATTCCAACACGTAACCAGCAATCAGAGATATGCACAGAGCAATAGTGAAGCGGAACGCGCCGTGCAAACCATCAAGAAACTGTTGCGCAAAAACAAGAATCCGTACGTCGCCCTAATGTCGTATCGTGCGACGCCCTTATCGAATGGGTATAACCCTGCCGAACTTCGCATGGGTAGACAAATACAAAAAAAAGTGCCAGTTAAGCCAGAAACACTCATCCCAAAATGGCCTTATCTAACAGAGGTGAAGGACAAAGATACTGAGCTGTGCGACAACCAAAAACGGAACTATAATCAGCGTCATCGCGTCAAAAATCTTGCACCGCTCAATCCAGGAGATCGCGTTTGGATAAGGGCAGTGGGACTCGTGGAGAGGTCGTGAAATCTGCACCCACCCCTCGATCTTACGTCGTTAAAACACCAACAGGCGAAGTGCGTAGAAACCGTCGCCATATCGTACCAACGACTGGACCAAAACTTCCGGAACCTATAGAGTACGATAACATTCCTACAGCTAGTGTTACGCGACCGCCGATCGTTGACCACCACCAGAATCGTACCGAGCCCGCGTCGCGTCCGATGGACAGTACACGTAATGGCTACCAAACAAGATCTGGACGGATGTCAGTGCCGCCAAAGAGGATGGACTTATAAAGTTAAAAGGTTTTTTAAAAGTTTAAAGTTTAAAATGTTTATCTTAGTTCTCATTAACATTCGTGAAAAAACTTTGACAGTTTTAGTTTAAAAGTAGTCGAAAAACAGTGCTAAAGGAACCTTGAAAGGAGATGTAATGTTATCCTATTTGATACAAGCACTTATATAATCACTATAATCACGTGTTATGTAATTTCCATGAATAACGCAATCTTGAATTATACCGACTCCACGAAGCTGACGGTCTTGTTTATCTGTCTTAATTAAGTAATTTATCGAGGACTGAATAATAGAACAGTGTGTTTCTTGTGACAAGATCTTTCTGGTTGTATCAAAATTTTGACCATGTGATTTTAATGTTGTTGCAACCATAATGTCATAATGTTTCATAAACACATCATATCTCTGGTGATAAGGTCGTGTGAATCAAACGAAGGTAACATTTCTTTTCAGAAAGTCAAACTAGCTTTTCAATTATATAAGTTTTATTACTGTTATAACTCTTTGACAAATTTGTATTTCTAGTACATTATTTTACAACACTTTATCTATTTCATTTCTAAGTTATGTTTTTAACTTTTAGAAGAAAAACTGTTTTAAGACTGAGTTAGTGTTAACTGATATGTAACTACTACAGCAGATAAGAGAGTGTTAAATGTAACATAAAATGGCTGTGAACCCGTTACGTCCTCCATTAAAACACCTATCCATCACAGCCTAACATACCTTTGTCTCATCATGAAACTATGAAGGCTAAATGGGAAAAAAATCACACCTTTTCAGCCTTACCAACACATTTGACTCGTTGGAAATTTAAGTTCAATAGTTACACATTATCAGATATAGAAATGCAATATGTCGATTTATATTTTTGTCATTGCAGTAACAGGATAACGATATTAATTTTTTTAACGTTTTCTCATTTGCACCACCAGAATTTTAACCCCGCTAGCCAACCACAAGGAACACAGGAAATGAATATTGTGTTATCACGACTGACAGGGGACGTACATTTCCATAGGGTGTGAGCTGACACGTGTACTGGACATCTACTTACATATCTGTACTAGACACGTGCACGGATGTGTGAAATTGGACACGTGGTTACACACGTTTTATTTCTGTACGAGTGTGTGGTACTGGGTACATGCTTACACACGTGATATTTCTGTACTGGTGTGTGATACTGGGTACATGGTTACACACGTGGTATTTCTGTATTGGTGTGTGGTACTGGGTACATGGTTACACACGTGATATTTCTGTACTGGTGTGTGGCACTGGGTACATGGTTACACACGTGGTATTTCTGTATTGGTGTGTGGTACTGGGTACATGGTTACACACGTGGTATTTCTGTACTGGTGTGTGGTACTGGGTACATGGTTACACACGTGGTATTTCTGTACTGGTACACACGTGGTATTTCTGTACTGGGTACATCGTTACACACGTGGTATTTCTGTACTGGTGTGCGGTACTGGGTACATGGTTACACACGTGATATTTCTGTACTGGTGTGTGGTACTTACTGGGTACATGGTTACACACGTGGTATTTCTGTACTGGTGTGTGGTACTGGGTACATGGTTATGCACGTGGTATTTCTGTACGGGTGTGCGGTACTGGGCACATGGTTACACACACGTGGTGTGGGTACATGGTTACACACGTGGTATTTCTGTACTGGTGTGTGGTACTGGGTACATGGTTACACACGTGGTATTTCTGTACTGGTGTGTGGTACTGGGCACATGGTTACACACGTGGTATTTCTGTACTGGTGTGTGGTACTGGGTACATAGTTACACACGTGGTATTTCTGTACTTGTGTGTGGTACTGGGTACATGGTTATGCACGTGGTATTTCTGTACGGGTGTGCGGTACTGGGCATGTGGTTACACACGTGGTATTTCTGTACTGGTGTGTGGTACTTGGTACATGTTTACACACGTGGTATTTCTGTACTTGTGTGTGGTACTGTGTACATGGTTACACACGTGGTATTTCTGTACTGGTGTGTGGTACTGGGTACATGGTTACACACGTGGTATTTCTGTACTGGTGTGTGGTACTGGGTACATGGTTACACACGTGGTATTTCTGTACTGGTGTGTGGTACTGGGTACATGGTTACACACGTGGTATTTCTGTACTGGTGTGTGGTACTGGGTACATGGTTACACACGTGGTATTTCTGTACTGGTGTGTGGTACTGGGTACATGGTTACACACGTGGTATTTCTGTACTGGTGTGTGGTACTGGGTACATGGTTACACACGTGGTATTTCTGTACTGGTGTGTGGTGTGTGTGGTATTTCTGTACTGGTGTGTGGTACTACACATGGTTACACACGTGGTATTTCTGTACTGGTGTGTGGTACTGGTGTACATGTTACACACGTGGTGGTTGTGTACTGATGTTTACACACGTGGTATTTCTGTACTGGTGTGTGGTACTGGGTACATGGTTACACACGTGATATTTCTGTACTGGTGTGTGGTACTGGGTACATGGTTACACACGTGGTATTTCTGTACTGGTGTGTGGTACTGGGTACATGGTTACACACGTGGTATTTCTGTACTGGTGTGTGGTACTGGGTACATGGTTACACACGTGGTATTTCTGTACTGGTGTGTGGTACTGGGTACATGGTTACACACGTGGTATTTCTGTACTGGTGTGTGGTACTGGGTACATGGTTACACACGTTTAATTTCTGTACTGGTGTGTGGTACTGGGTACATGATTACACACGTGTTATTTCTGTACTGGTGTGTGGTACTGGGTACATGGTTACACACGTGGTATTTCTGTACTGGTGTGTGGTACTGGGTACATGGTTACACACCTGGTAGTTCTGTACTGGTGTGTGGTACTGGGTACATGGTTACACACGTGGTATTTCTGTACTGGTGTGTGGTACTGGGTACATGGTTACACACGTGATATTTCTGTACTGGTGTGTAGTGTGTGGTACTGGTGTGTGGGTACATGGTTACACACGTGGTATTTCTGTACTGGTGTGTGGTACTGGGTACATGGTTACACACGTGGTATTTCTGTACTGGTGTGTGGTACTGGGTACATGGTTACACACGTGGTATTTCTGTACTGGTGTGTGGTACTGGGTACATGGTTACACACGTGGTATTTCTGTACTGGTGTGTGGTACTGGGTACATGGTTACACACGTGGTATTTCTGTACTGGTGTGTGGTACTGGGTACATGATTACACACGTGTTATTTCTGTACTGGTGTGTGGTACTGGGTACATGGTTACACACTTGGTATTTCTGTACTGGTGTGTGGTACTTACTGGGTACATGGTTACACACGTGGTATTTCTGTACTGGTGTGTGGTACTGGGTACATGGTTACACACGTGGTATTTCTGTACTTGTGTGTGGTACTGGGTACATGGTTACACACGTGGTATTTCTGTACTGGTGTGTGGTACTGGGTACATGGTTACACACGTGGTATTTCTGTACTGGTGTGTGGTACTGGGTACATGGTTACACACGTGGTATTTCTGTACTGGTGTGTGGTACTGGGTACATGGTTACATACGTGGTATTTCTGTACTGGTGTGTGGTACTGGGTACATGGTTACACACGTGGTATTTCTGTATTGGTGTGTGGTACTGGGTACATGGTTACACACGTGGTATTTCTGTACTGGTGTGTGGTACTGGGTACATGGTTACACACGTGGTATTTCTGTACTGGTGTGTGGTACTGGGTACATGGTTACACACGTGGTATTTCTGTACTGGTGTGTGGTACTGAGTACGTGGTTACACACGTGGTATTTCTGTACTGATGTGTGGTACTGGGTACATGGTTACACACGTGGTATTTCTGTACTGGTGTGTGGTTCTGGGTACATGGTTACACACGTGGTATTTCTGTACTGGTGTGTGGTACTGGGTACATGGTTACACACGTGGTATTTCTGTACTGGTGTGTGGTACTGGGTACATGGTTACACACATTTCTGTACTGTGTGTTGGTATTTCTGTACTGGTGTGTGGTACTGGGTACATGGTTACACACGTGGTATTTCTGTACTGGTGTGTGGTACTGGGTACATGGTTACACACGTGGTATTTCTGTACTGGTGTGTGGTACTGGGTACATGGTTACACACGTGATATTTCTGTACTGGTGTGTGGTACTGGGTACATGGTTACACACGTGGTATTTCTGTACTGGTGTGTGGTACTGGGTACATGGTTACACACGTGGTATTTCTGTACTGGTGTGTGGTACTGGGTACATGGTTACACACGTGGTATTTCTGTACTGGTGTGTGGTACTGGGTACATGGTTACACACGTGGTATTTCTGTACTGGTGTGTGGTACTGGGTACATGGTTACACACGTGGTATTTCTGTACTGGTGTGTGGTACTGGGTACATGGTTACACACGTGGTATTTCTGTACTGTGTGTGTGTGTGGTTACACACGTGGGTACTGGTGTGTGGTTACTGGGTACATCAATACACACGTGGTATTTTTGTACTGGTGCGTGGTACTGGGTACATGGTTACACACGTGGTATTTCTGTACTGGTGTGTGGAACTAGGTACATGATTACACACGTGATATTTCTGTACTTGTGTGCGGTAGATATAATACATTGTTACATCAGTTTACAGGTGTACGTTATCCTTGTTATAACACAATTAGTTCCTGTGTGATATCGAAGTTCTTA